ACAGATTACCAAATACGGTGAAATACCCTAAAACATGCCTTTAACAAAGGGCCAGGGACCAAAAAGTTTGCTTCTTTTTAAGCGTAATTCTTACGATATCTGTTAATTGTTCTATAAATTTTAAAGTCAAGTGGACTATAAATCACTATAAGTGTCAATCCATTATAAGCGTGTTTTCTTTAAGTATGTTTTACTGTAAAATGTCTATGAATTATCAGCTCTAATATTTTTTTTTTCCTGCGATGTTAAATGTAACAGTAAATCACTTTTGAACATGCATACCTGGGACTCTTGCTTCTTTGTTTTGTGATTGGGTTAACAATGGCTTGCAAACACTTTCTGAAAAGGGAAATATCTGGTTTGTAAAGTTTGCATTTTCACTAAGAAAACAAAATTGTACTATATACATTCATTATGCATGTTAAACCAAGTTCTAATGCAACTGTTTTGTAAAATGCATTTTGATTTGATTAGCTGATACACTGATGTTTGAGATGGTAAAACAAGCATTAAGAGAATGGAAGCTTTTCATTGTGAAAATCATAACAAGCTTTTCATTGTGAAAATCATAACAGAGCAACACAAAAACATAATAATCCATGACATAATTCATTTAACCAAATCGCCAAAATAAGAGTAAACATGCATAAAAAAAAAATGCATCAACTGTATTAAAATGGTTAAACTATCTTCTAATATGGTATTTGCTTATGTTTCGCTTGTAAAACCCAGTTTGCGACTATAAAATTACTGGCACATTACTGTTAAAGATTGCTTTTAAGTTGTCATACTTTTACTTCACATCTACGTACGTGTAATGAGACAATCTGGCAAAACAGAAATCCTAAATTAATCTTTTTAGAGCTTACCTTTATGTAACTTGTAGCAGCTGACAGAACAACTACAATGAATAACCAGTATTTTGCAATAATTACATCAGAAAAATTAAAAATTTGTAGCTTCATAATACATGTAAAAATATATTAAATATATAAGTGTTAAAAATGCATTCCACTGATTTGCATCTGCAGTTCAACTTCATTGAAGAGATTAATTTACATACTCCAAGTACAATATCCATCTGTTAAAACCGTGATTTGAAATAAACACTGATAAACAGACATTGAGAAAATGTTAAGAATTCAGTCTACTTACTATTTGATGATACATTTTGGACATTTGTATTTTGAGACATTAGCTTGACAGACTTCACACTGATATTTTTCTTGATCCTCCATGTTATTGTTTTTGGGGGATATCATGCTACTTTCGATTTGAGGATGTCAAAAATTTAGGTAACTTGTACATAAAAGACACAAATTGTTAAAAAAAACCCTAATATTTCCTTTCTTTGTTTCGTTGTTGTAAAAACAAATACTGCTTTTTTAATATAGTATTTACTACATATACCTATTCACTGCATCTAGAACGGATTACAACTATTACATGTACAGTATTTTACGTTATCGACACATTTAAGGAACGATCTTTTTTATTGTACTTTCGTTTTCACAATAACGCCATGATTACAGTACTTATTCCTTAAAATACTAGTTACTGAGTAAGGACTGCGTTGCCTTTCTGTGAGAGGAAAATTAATGTTAGACTGATCACTTCCTCAATTTTTAAGTGATGACATGATCTGTAATTCTACACAGCACTGTTTTATGAACGCCGTACCTACGTTTCCTTCGGTTGTGCAATCACCCATTTCAAGTGTTGATTATATTTCATGCCTAATAGTTTAGTCAGTTAGTTTGATCTGAACTATGAAAAGTAGAGGAAGAGGTAAGATATCGATGATAAATTAACTTATTGTCTTTTAAAAATTCTGTACACATCTAATTATATGAGGAATAAACTCCATCCATTGATGACACCTCTGGTCTAAGATTTTACTTTGAAACCACTTAACCCTAGTACAATGAAATAGATATATGTATGATCAAGTGTGTATATCGTTCCAGATTGCAAAAGTCTTCATTGTGAATTTCAGGAATTAGAAATACTATTAGAATGGGTACAGATAAGAAAACCGTCACCTCAGAAATGGAGGAAAAGAAACTTGAGAAAGATGACCGTCTCTCCAAACGCCTGTGTTACATCCTCAGATATGGTGCCTTAAAAGAGGGGCTCAAATTGTATCATGGAGGTGAATGATTTTTAAAAAGATATTGTTTTATTGTCGATCATTGGTAAACATTTTAAGGGACTCCGACCCTCAGCCAGGAAGGACAACTCTTTAATTTATAATTTAATTCAAAAAGTCTTTAAATGAAGCTTGAAAATTAAATCTTTTCATGCAACAATTGTCATTATATGCCTCTCAATGTGCTTCAAGGTTCTTTGAACTTCTCAGAAAGGTCTAATTAAAAGTAGAAATTTTTATCCCGTAAAAGCATTATTAGATACCAATGTTTATTAACATGATATGAAATTAGAAATGATTTATGAAGCTTTGCAAAGAACCTTGAAGCACATTGAGAGGCATATAATGACAATTGTTGCATGAAAAGATTTAATTTTCAAGCTTCATTTTAAGACTTTTTGAATTAAATTATAAATTAAAGAGTTGTCCTTCCTGGCTGAGGGTCGGAGTCCCTTAAAGATGTGTTTATCATTAGTTACATTGTACAGTGTAGATAAAACACAGTATTTTGAATCAATTTAAAATCAATTATTGAAAACTTTAGAATGAAAGTTATGTATGATTGTGTAATCTTTTTTCACTTTTTCTAATAAATGATCTTATTTGCAGATTTTGTGGAGCTAGATCAGCTTCTGGAATTAGAGTTAATGAGACACAACTCAAAAGAAGAAGTGATTCATGAAGTGGATATCTCTCTTTCTCACAGGAATGCAAAGAGATTCGAACGAAAGGAAGAGAACGGAAAGATCTACGTCAGAGCCTGCTTCTGTAGGAACTTTGAGGAGGTACCCAGCCTTGAAGATAATTTTGTCATTTCAAAGAACTAATATACTTTTGATTTCAGAAAGGTCTATAGGATTCGGTTTAGTAATCAAAATCAAATTTGGAATTTTTTGCTCATTTTTGTTTTTGATGAGCATATCTACAAACTTTCATTTTTTCATCTAAATCTCTAATAATATCAGTTGAACATGATCCTGCTGTGCATAAACTTTCTAAAGGATTATAATTTTATTAAAATCTATCATTTCGTGTTCGAAGTCATGCTTTTCAGTTTAGACTTGATGCCAAACCTTACATTCTTTACAGATTACAACATGATTTTTTTTTTATAATGAATCAATTTTTCCAGAACCCCTGCCATGAAGGGTCCAGAGTGCCTAGGCTAACAGAATCCTGTGTACAGTACATATGTACTAATCTAAATGATTATGACCTTGAAGACTTTCCTGATGAGCACCTAGTAAGGTATGTCTTCTTACGTCATATTAAAAACATCAACATTTTCTCCGTCCTAGCTTTATGTTTTGTTTAGCAAGATGTAGATCGCTTATTCCATTGTGTACAAATTGGTGTTTTCTTAAATTGTTGAATAATAACTTTCACCACATGTAATTTTCTCCATTGCAAACTTCCATTGTAGTAAGATGATTCAGAAGATGAAGAAACAGAGTAAGTTAAACAGTGCTGCATTGCGACAACTCCTTGTTCCCGTGCTGGAACATCTAGATTTGTCCGGAGTCTACGTTACCGAGAGCACACTGAGGCTGGTGTGGAGGAACTGTCCGAACCTCCGCGTTCTCAGTCTGAAGGATTGTGGGTATTTAATGACAGACAGTGTCATGGAGCAGCTAGTCAAGGTAATATATTTTGAGGAAATTTTTTCAATGGGGGTATCAATAACTTGTCTACCAGAGACTATCACTGTAATAACTGTAGCTTAATTCTGCATTACCTTACATGTACTATTATACAATGACGATACACTTGCAAATCAGAAAACTTGAAATGTTTATCAGATTATTTCTTTCACCTGGTAAATTATGCTGGCTTGTTATTCATCAGAATTTCTTACTTTGTAGAAACTACCTCATCTGGAGTCATTAAGCCTGTGCGCCTGTAAGCACTTAACAGATAGAGCAGCCAAGGCTCTGTGTAAACACGCCAAAAACCTCAGGGAGCTGAATCTTAGCTGGATCTCTACGATCTCAGAGGCCGCTATCATAGATCTCATGACAAACTGTCCACAACTCATGTTCCTAGATATTTACGATCACAATATATCAAAGGACGGGAGGAGTATAATAGCTGATATAGCCAGACAGCGTAAAATGAAAATAGTGTTGAAAGGTTTGACAGACCTTGAGATTGCCCCTGAGAATCCTTGCTCCCTGCTGCCTAACTTTGGAAAAGTGTGGTAAAATGTGATCAGGTGCTGCTATAATTACATGTATTGTTAACCCTATGTTACACTGTGATAGATTGACAAGTTTTTCATTTGATAATTGGATTTTCATTTTTATTTTATGAAAAATGTGATATTATAGTTCTAGAAAATTTTTGGAAAACTTGCTGTTATAAATAATTTCCACTTATGACATTATGATTTTATGTGCCCATAGAATCTGTGATATTTAGCTCACTTTGCTAACAGTGATGTATTATCAAGAATTAAATATACATGTACATGTATTTTTTTACTGTTTTGTCATGGAAACATTTCATAATTAAACAGCATACATATAAATTGGCAGTTTTTTAAGAATCTAATTTTGTTTCTTTTTAATTTTTTTTTTTTTTGTTCATGTATTTCACAATTTTTCTATTATAATAGGTGGAATATGCATGTAAATGTCAAAATGGATTTAAACCTACATGTATACATATGTATAATGCTCAGTGAGTCGGGATTGTTGTATTATTGGAGTCAACCTATTAATACATACATGTTGTGTATACATGTATATATTTAATATACACATAATTGTTCCTTTTACTCATATTAATTAATAAGTAATCTAGTATTATTTTTGCAATGAAATGTATTAAATAGTAAAAAATAATACAAGAATAAAATAATTGATTTATTATCTTAAATTTATTTTCAACAATAACAATAAACATAAAATAATGTTTTAGATGGCAGAATCAGCAAAGCTTTAAATGACCTGTGACTTCATTTACCAAGTTCTCAGGTCCTGAAAATAAAAAAAAAAACATATTTATGATAAAGAAAAAATACTCAAAAATGTCTTGAATGAAATGTAAGTCCTTGAATGTAAACTGTAAAAATAAGCAATTTGGCATCCTAATATATGTATGTTTTTTGTCATTTTCAGTTTATTTATAGAAGAATACAAGAATGTGCCTCATTTACTCTTGCATGCTTTATATGTATTTTAGTCATTCATATCACATTTATAAGGTCATGCCTGGTCCCAATCCTGACACACTTACCCGGTCCCACACCTAACACAGTTCTGGACCCTGGAGCAATCTGTGTTCTACCGGCATCTTGTATAAGACTGGCATTTAGTCCTAGGGACCTTGCCTTCCTAGCTAAATCTAGACTGAAAAAGACAATTATGAAGTCAGGTTCAATGAAGTTTTGTTAACATGAATGATTCAATAGTGAACCAACACACTGAAATTCATTTCATTACAAAATGTGTTTTTCATCCTTTGTCTACCTTATTTTAACATTGATGCATGTAGTTTGATATTTATTTTTGAACCCTTCTTTGTTTAACAATGATTAAATAGGTTTAGTAATTACAGCATTTTCTCTGAGTCGGCCTTGACCACGACCTTGGGTTGACCTGTCATTTTCCATTTGTTGAATAGTTCTGGTTTATTTCTAGCCACAAATTCTGAGGCGTGGACTGCAGCGTGACAACACTAAAATAATGTTTTACAATATACATGTAACTATATATTTGCAATCATCATCAGATGAAACAAACAGACATACCTATTCCCTACTGAGTCATGAGAAGTTGATGACTCGTTTTATTACTCAGGGAGTATAAAACTAGCCATCAACTTATCAATAGAGAGTAAGACATACCAAGACTGCTTGTACAAGTATCTCAAAATTAACGTGATTAAGATGACTACATTAAAGACTTACTTGTGCTGCTGCTTTCCCTTTTCCCATCTTGAGGTCCTGTCGTACAACCAATACCAGCTTATACTCTCCATTGTCTGACAACTTCAGAGCATTCTGAAATCAAAACATTGCCATTTTACTCTTATGCTGGAATGAAGAATTTTCCAGTTGAAGAACTTAGAAGTGTTTCCACTTAATGATGGTAAAACCAAATCACTTGATAATGTGGCTTAAAAGAAGAAATAATATTAATGAAATGGCATTGCACTTACTGGAATTTTGCTAAATATTTTAAATGTCAGAAAATGCAGCATTCCAATATTCTTCCTTTGATATTTAAATTCTTTTTGGCATTATGATTAATACATATACACATTGTTTGTCTCAATTCAATATACTGTAGAATCACAAATTTTCGTGGGGATAAAATTTTGTTGATTTGTCATCAAAAATAGTTTCGTTGGCATTTTATTTCGTTGTTTTGAAAGTAATCCTATTCAATATATAGTCATATAAAATTTCGTGTGGGATTTAATTTCGTTGATAATTGTTAACAACGAAATAAACGAAATTTAACCCCCCTCGAATATTTGTGCTTTTACAGTATATACATTGCAATGTACATAGTATGCCACAATAGACTGCAGACAATGAGACCTCTGGCAGAAATATTTGTAGAGGGAACCTGATTTATGTGTAATTTAATAAGGAGTACACGGCGGGTGTGACCGGTCGGCAGGGGATGCTCACTCCTCCATGGCACCTGACTCCCCCTCTATATTGGAGGTCCGAGTTTGCTTCGATCCTATATTGAAATGCTTAATGGACTTTTGAGCTCAAATACTGTTCATTATCTCCACATATTAATATATGTATTTATATATTAGAGAAGTGGACAGGGTAGGTGAAGTCTGTGCACTTCTCGACAGAGAATAATTTCTCAATTACTCTGTCTTATATGCTCTTATGTCAATATAATAATAATTTAAGCCAATATGTTCTAATATTATGTCAATACGATAATAATTTGAGCCAATATGTTCTAATTAGTGATCATTCTGTCTTCATTGAAATGATTAAAGAAAATAACTTAAGTTACTGATAACGACATGGACCTAAAAAATATTTACATCTGTGAGGTCGACATCTGTATTCTTCACACCGGTGGCCGGGTACGGGATTCTTTTGAGAGACCTTCCCCTGATGAACCACCCCAGGGCAAACCCAATACCGACTCCGATCGACACAGCCACGCCCACATCTTTACGGTCCATTATGTGTGGACATACCACACTGTACACAGAAAATCTTAATGGACCCGAGTTTCCTCAGTTGTTTATATTTTCACACGTGGGAACTGATTAACTTGTGCCTAAAATATTCGACAATTCTTCTACGTGGACTCCCCGTCACGGTAAGTCAGTGCATTCGGTAAGTATACGTGAACGAAAAGTCGAAGATTCAGGTCCAGTCCGCGACTGATCTGTAATTTGATAATAATAATAAACAAGAGGCCCATGGCCCACATCGCTCACCTGAGAAGCTTTGACCATTCTGTTCTTTACCAGATTTCACCCTTGTTATACATAATGCATCCCCACCCTACCCCACTGATCATAATTTAGATATTTTGAAATTTACACTACCCCATGATCCTTCCATGGGCACATATGTTTTAGCTTTTTTGGCCCAGTGGTTCCTGAGAAGAAGATTTTCAAAGATTTTTCCTATATATTTCTATGTAAAACTTTGATTCCCTATAATGGCCCCGCCCTTCCCCCGGGGGTCATGGTTCCTACAATTTAGAATTTACACTACCCCAGAATGCTTCCACATAAGCTTCACTTTTTCTGGCCCAGTGGTTCTTGAGAAGAAAATTTTCAAAGATTTTTCCTATATATTTCTATATAAAACTTTGATTCCCCATTGTGGCCCCGCCCTTCCCTGGGGGTCATGATTTGAACGAATCTACATTATACCATGATGTGACATGATTTGAACAGATTTTTTATATATCTATGTACATTATACCGGGGGATGCTTCCACATAAGTTTCCACATAAGCTTCACTTTTTCTGGCCCAGTGGTTCTTGAGAAGAAAATTTTCAAAGATTTTTCCTATATATTTCTATATAAAAATTTGATTCCCCATTGTGGCCCCACCCATCCCCCGGGGGTCATTATTTGAACAATTTAGAATCTACATTATACCAGGATGCTTCCACATAAGTTTCAGCTTTTCTGGCCCAGTGGTTCTTGAGAAGAAGATTTTGAAAGATTTTTCCTATATATTTCTATGTAAAACTTTGATTCCCCACTGTGGTCCCGCCCTTCCCGTCATTATTTGAACAATTTAGAATCTACACTATACCAGGATGCTTCCATATAAGTTTCAGCTTTTCTGGCCCAGTGGTTCTTGAGAAGGAGATTTTCAAAGATTTTTCCTATATATTTCTATATAAAACTTTGATTCCCCATTGTGGCCCCGCCCTTCCCCTGGGGGTCATGATTTGAACAATTTAGAATCTACACTATACCAGGATGCTTCCACATAAGTTTCAGCTTTACTGGCCCAGTGGTTCTTGAGAAGAAGATTTTTTAATGACCCCACCCTATTTTTGTCTTTTCTTGATTATCTCCCCTTCCGAGGAGATATGTCCCTTCATTTTAACAATTTAAATTCCCCTTTACCCAAAAATGCTTTGTACCAAGTTTGGTCAAAATTGGCCCAGTGCTTCTTGAGAGGAAGTCGAAAATGTGAAAAGTTTACAGACGGACAGACAGACGGACGAACAGCTAGACGGACGGACGACGGACAAAGTGATCAGAAAAGCTCACTTGAGCCTTCGGCTCAGGTGAGCTAAAAAGCACAGGCACCTGACGTTAGGCTTACTTATTTTTCTTTTAATAATAAAAAAATACACATACCTAAGTTTATTATTAGGTATGTGTATATTTTTTTTTATTAAAAGAAAAATAAGTAACTTCAGATGCCTGTGTAAAAAAAGTATTATTTGTCCCATTTGCCATGCGCTCGACACTTGGTCCAAGTGAAATCACACAATAATATATTGTCCTCCTTTTATTAACCGACAAATTTTATATTCAAATGAAGCAGAAAAATATTTAAACGAAAATTAAGCCACCTCCCACTTTTTTCGCAAAGATAGACAAAATATGGTTATTGAACCCTGTCTCGCGCGCGTGTTTGGACGATAGATATATTCACTTTTTTGGTTTGCTTGTCAAGTTTTTTTTACGTTTGAATTTTTTTTCTCCTTCACTTAACCCCCCTTTCAATTTCCTTCCGACGCCAATGAAGTATGAGTACATCTCTGTGTCTCCATAAAACATATGGAGACAACGAACAGTATTCAAGAACAAAAGTCCATAAAACAATACAAAATAGGAGCAGAGCATATGTACGGACCTCAAAAACATCAGAGGTGGGTTCAGCTAGGTGCCATGGAGGAGTGAGCATCCCCTGCCAACCGGTCACACCCGCCATGTGCTCCTTATCATGATCGGGAAATAAAGCAAAAAATCCGTGGTCAATTTAGTGTACAAATAATGGACTAACATTTAGTATGAAAAAGTCAGTCAGCATATTTGACTCAATGATAAATTGTATTTGCTGACAAGGTCATTGTATCAACCATAGAACTTACGAAATGATGATTTTAAACGATACTGTTGATACTGTTGATATTCTTGTTTTATCAACTTGTTTGATAAAATTGTTGTTTGTCAATAATTTACCTCGATTTAGAAATTGTTAATACGTAGCGCATGCTTTTGCGTATCGAAACAACTGAGATATATGATGAAGGTATATTACTGCCTAATTAACGGAAGTTGACGATAGAAAAGTTAAAATCATTACGTTTATCATAGATCTTGGTTGTTAGATTACCATTAACGTCTTTTGAAGTAAAATATCCAAATATGAAACAGCTGTGTCAAACTCATCTTAAATCTTGAAAATTAAAGAACATTACTATGGTGTCCAGATAGGGCCATTTGCCAAAGCTCAAAATCGCGTTTAGAAAAACACGCTGACACACTAACACACAACACGCTGTCACACAAACACATTGTCAAGTTCGCACAACACACGACGTCGTGCTAACACACAACAAGCTACATACAACTCGCGACGAAGTATTGCCTGAAAGCGTGTTAGCGCGTTATATGTTATCGCTAGGGCGTGTTGTTGCGAACTTGTTGTGTTAACGTGACAGCTTGTTGTGTGTTAGCGCGATGTTGAGCTCAAATTCTGCAAATGGCCCTCTCCGGACTACGGAAGCGTAAATGGCTCTACACTTGTTATAACTTTGTATATTGTCATATATTTTATCGACTTATCAACATGTAAAGTGTTATACCTCCTTATTTATGCACATATTTTAAATGTTATTAAGATTTCTTAATATAATTGAAGGCAACTCCTTTTGTTCAATAGACTTTATTGCTTTAAGTTTTATCGACTGAAATAATATATTGATTTTCAGATATTGATCGGAACAAGATATTTAATCATATCGATATAGTATCGTTGATATGATGAAATAAAGATATAGATATATCGATTTTCATTTATAAATATTTGTGATAAAGAAGTCAGAATACAGCGTTTTTGAATTATTTTGGCGGGGTTGGGAATTCCAATGAACCTTCACTTTACTCGGGATTCAGTGAAAGCTTATGTATCATGTACGATTAAAGGCTGAATCAAATGAAAAAGTATATACTCCAGTATTAAAAAAGGGAGATGAAGACACATTAAAAGTTATAGATCCATAGTGGACTATTGCACCGATCACCACTTTTGATGATGGGGAGACAAGAGTATCTTTGTGCCCCTCATCCAGCTTTAAAAAAAACTGAGTGCAACAGAGATCCACTAATATGTCCCCAAATTTAAGAAAATTCTCACAGTTAGATTATTAAATCCTTGGGGTGTTTTGTTTGTTATATATTTATTTTGGCTGACACTACACTTTCCTCCTTTAAACTTTGTGACTAAACTTATACAGATTGGCTGAAATCACAAATTATTTTATATTATTTAGAGCATAAGAAGTAAGATCTGGTGTTTATATTTTTATGCAAGGGAGGGGGGTTCAAGACTGTTGAAGTTCGCATTCATGAGTCAAATCCTATGTATAACACAGAGTGGAACAACATCAAATACTTACAGAGTACATATATAATCAGTGTTACTTTTATAATACATAGTGTTACTTTCTACTTTCGCTTCTTTGGCGATTAACAATCCCCCACTGAACTCAAGAGATATAGCCAGTGAACAATGATAGAATCGCCCCCCTCTTCAGGGGTGGTTATGGGTACAATAACCCTCTATGACAATGGTAATAATCTAACTGTTGATGTCTCTCCATCTCCCTTTTTCAAATATTTTTGAATTTTGTTTCAGCCTATAATCGTACACAATAGCAAATACATGGTACATAAGATTCCCAAGTGAAGTGAAGATTAATTAGAATTCCCGCTCCCGCCAAGTTAATTCAAAAACACCTTTTTCTGACTTCTTCTCGAAAATATTCATATATCTATATAGATATAACTTCATATTTATTTCTTCATATCGACAATACTATATTGACATTATTAAATATTTTGTTTCGATCGATATTTTAAAATCAGTATAATATTTCAGTCAAAAAAGTTAAAGCAATAAAATCTATTGAACAAAAGAAGTTGCCTTTAATTATGTAAATAAAGCTCAATACAATTCAAAATATGTGCATAAATAAGGAGGTATAACACTTTAGATGTTGATATGTCGATAAAATATAAGACAATATACAAAGTTATAACAAAGCAAGTGTAGAGCCATTTACTCTTCCGTACCGGACAGCATACGTTATCTATCACAGTGGTGTCGCGACGTCGTGTTTTAAGTTATTTCACTTGTCCAATTTACCAGCTTTTATTACAGAGTTATCTAAATATTTAGCATAGATGTGTATATTTTTTCTCCTTTTCATACTATAGCCTTTAAGCTAGCTTTTGAGCTCCTAGGTTTCATTGATATGCCTAGATTCACACAGTTATTATGCACTTTTTTATCAGTCATATACATGATATTTTTACGATTGTTAAATGTTATCAAAGGAAATAAAAACAAAGCAAAATGAAACAGGCACACAAATACAGACCAAGATGATACATGTATATCGTGGGAGACCAAACATTTGGTGTTTCCAGAAGTCTGTTGATAGTAAACCTCACCTGTAAAACATGGCGGCCTCTATTACATCTATTTTATTACTATTTGTGACTTCTCTTATGAATGAGGGAACACGTTTTGTTTGTGGTATTGATGAAGGTGACTTTGATTATGATGCCCTTCCTGGAACGACACACGAATTCAAGATAGAAGTTAAAGCTGGAGAGGAGGACTGTTTTGCCCAGATGGTGGCGCTGGGAGCAGTGTTTCACGTGCAATATGAGGTACAATCACTCACATTAATATTACACTTGCATGAATGTTTTAAAAATAAAGACCATCAACTGAGAATAGACTTCAGTCAATTTTTTTTCTTCTGATGATCTTTAATTTTATTTAAAATGTGTTCTTGAATTTTATCCTTTTCTTTACCGTATATATGGTTTCAAAGAATATCGTATCACATTAAGATACAATATAAAATAAAATTTGCTACACAAAAACATATATTTCAAGCTGTATTTTGAGGCTTAATTAATTTTTAAGAGTTGTTGACCTTGATTGATGAGGGATAACCCGTATCAAAAAATTGCCTTACTAAAATATTTGTACAACATATATGGCTGCAAACGTTACTACATATAATTTTTAGAAATATGGTACTACAATGTACTTCCCGAATAAAGCTTTCAACATTTTTGCAGCGAACAAAACAGTTTTAAGGGTATTCTTAAGGGACTCCGACCCTCAGCCAGGAAGGAGAACTCTTTGATTTATAATTCAATTCAAAAAGTCTTTAAATGAAGCTTGAAAATTAAATATTTTCATGCAACAATTTTCATTATATGTCTCTCAATGTGCTTCAAGGTTCTTTGCAAAGCTCCATAAATCACTTCTAATTTCATATCATGTTAATAAACATTGGTATCTAAAAATGCTTTTTCAGGATAAAAAAATTCTACTTTTAATTAGACCTCTCTGAGAAGTTCAAAGAACCTTGAAGCCCATTGAGAGGCATATAATGAAAATTGTTGCATGAAAAGATTTAATTTTCAAGCTTCATTTCAAGACTGAATTAAATTATAAATTAAAGAGTTGTCCTTCCTGGCTGAGGGTCGGAGTCCCTTAATATTAAATCTTTCGGGGGAAATGTATGGGAGACAAGTAACAAAATCAGTAATTATAAAAACATTTTTAGGTTCTGAGGGGCGGAGACAGAACTATTCGAATGATAGCGATTGACCCGAGCTTAAAGACAATTCAGATCGAAGATCCCAAATCAGAGGGCTTCATCAGCTACAAGGCGACGATGGAGGGTAAGTCAGGGTGTGTCTGAGAAAACAAAGGAGTGGATCTAGGTTTACTTCAAAATGAAAGTAACACTTTCAGAGAAGAATACAGTAGTTACCATACTTGAAGAATACTTACCATTTATTTAATTTAACAAAATCAGTATATCTATTTCGGTTCTTATGAGGGAGGCCATTTTTGTTAATACCATCTGGTACATATTGCCAGCTGCTTTAATGACATATATGGAGTCAGCAAACAACATTTATGCTCAAAAGTTCATTTAACAATGCTAATCAGGATCGAGCAAACAGGAACATCTAAAACATCAAAGGAGGGATCAAGTGCCACGGAGGAGTAAGCATCACTTGCTGATATAAATTATACATGTAGTTGGTATTTGTTTTAATTAAGAAGTTTAATATTCAACATTATCCCAATTACCACATTGTTACAGGGTACCACCACGTCTGTATGGACAACACACACTCCAGGTTTTCGGGAAAGATCGTGTACATCTATATTGTAACTTATATAATGGAAGAATGGGCAAAATATATGGAAGAAATCCAGAGTATCAGCCTCACCGCACAAAACTTTTCCGTACGTACAAATCCTTTTGAGAGTTAACAGAATCTTTGAAGTATTTTTTTCGAAGTTTTATTCACTAAAAAAATAATATTCAGAACTGATCATCTATGCTTACTCCTCCATTAATGTACTACAATATTAAAATATTAGAATCAAAATTAACACAAATTTAACTCATCAAGGCATTTTGCTTGATATACCGTATATGCGGGTTTTTTTGTTTTTTTTTTTTCGCGTGTTGGAAATTTTGCGAAAAAGGGGTAGATAAGCACAACTTTTATTTTGCGTAAGTTATTTTTTACGATTGTAGATTTTGTGGTTTAAAATGGTAATGTCTTTATGTTACATTATAGCTGACAAAATTTCTGCTTTATATTTTGCAAATTAAAAATGATTGCAAAAAAGCGAAAAATAGATCCTCGCGAAAAAAACGGATATACGGTTTATTAATTTTTTTTAATCATTCTAAAAGTCATCTCTAAACATATAATTGTCTACGACAAAATTAATAAAACTGGAAATTTCACTTCAGAGAACACTGACTGATGTGCAGACCTCAATAGACATTGTCAGGTTCCACCAATCAGAAAGCCGTATGCACGTGGTGCGGGACTGGTATTTAGCAATAGGAAATAACAAACACATCATGTACTGGTCCATATTCCAGATCAGCGTCATCATCATGACGTCAGTATTTCAGATTTTCTGTCTCCGGAGATTATTCCGCACTACAGCAGTGACACCGTCACAAAAACCTAGAGCCTAGCGATCCTTCAATTGGTGAAGCAATTGACTTTACATGTAACTTGCCTTAAAGCCATCATGCATGGTTAAAAACGTATCGTGGTTAATACGTATATATATGAGATGGTATCTACACTATTTCCTTTCTCGTAGATTGGCTACAACTTTTGCATACTGATCTAGGGGGCCTGGTGGGTATATCAATAACTACGCAACGGGCATTTTTGCCAAAGTAAAGTATTTGTTAAACACAAAAAGATGAAAGAAAAATAAGGGCGAAATGTACAGAAGAAATGGATAAATAAATGTTATTGTTGATGGAGTTGGGAAAACTCATACAATATATCCTTCCGAGAAAAGAAATAGTCCTGACATGTACCGTCTCGCATGTATTCGTACGATACTTAATAACCACGTTTTCAGTTCTAGCCAAGTCAGTCTTGATACTAATGTACTGTTCTCAAAGCATTTCCCATTTTGGATGTAGAATGATAAGTGCAAAAAAGATACAGCGATAAAAAAATCTTTATTCATTCATATTTTATATAACCTGAAATAAATAAATGATTTGAAAAATATAAATAATTGTTTCTAACAACAAAGTTCTGCAAGGTGAAACATGCCCTGATCTATAATTGAGTTACTCTTTAACGGGAGTGGTCTGGTAAAATCGTGGACAGCTTGTCTAGGACCGCACATAAGCATAAATTAAAAATAATGTTTTGTCTATATTTTATGAAAAAAAAATTAAGATGCACTAAAATATAATGAATAAATATTTTCTAAAAATTTCAGCTTAGTGTGTCCATCATTTTTCAATAGAAACGCTTTCTCCGTGCAACGATTGTACGATTTTACCGTGCAACCCTCATAAATCCAGGATCGATAAAGGTATTTTCGAAAATAACGGTTTAATAAGGAACCCTTTAATTAAACAATCATATTTGATCATTGCAATTGTGTAACAAATTCAAAAAATCACATTCGTATTATGGATGTTCAAGAATTCATGTTCATGTTTTACATGAATATTATATCCTGTATGATAATGAGGACCTTAGATCAGAGGAGAGGCTTGGAGGTCAGTGTTTGCTCTGCTACAATTTTGTATTGTCTATGGACTTGAATAGCTTGAATACTGTTCGTCTAGAAAACTAGATTTTTTAAAACTGGCATTGACTAATTGTCAGAATGGATTAAATGTATCAGATATATGTTACAATCGCGTATTAATTGATAGACTGAGGGGAATCTGAAAACCATCTATCTTTATATATTCAATAATCTAGAAGTTAAAAAAATTAAATAGATTACATGATCAGTACGTATTGGTCCCTGCTGACAAAGCAGGTAACAATATTGTCTTCGTTTGATCATGAAAGACTCATTGTATAAAATATTTTAGAAGAACTTGGATTGAATTTTACAAGTGGTAATCCAACTTATGCTCATAATTCGATCCCTTTCTTAGGAAGAAATTCTTCAAAATCATATGACAATTTTGAATATTTTTAATATTCCAAACAACCAAAATGAGTTTGAATTACCATACATATACTAGTATTAGATTTCGACACTTCATAAAAATCCCTACAAACAAATATATTTAGCTGGTTCCAGTAAATTTTCAACCAAGTCTCTTTCTTTACCCCTCATTCAAATATTAACGGTAATGAAGGAGAAACTTCAAGAGTACTGTGCAACAATATATTCGAAAGGTGGTGTAAATCAGATGTGGATACTTTGAAATTCCAAGGGACTTTTGGGCCATCTGAAATCACAAGATTTTACCAAAATTAACAACATAAAACTTACGACTTTTCAACTTTATCCACAACCATGTCCCACGATAAATAAAATCCAGGTTTTTTGATATCGTTGACAGCTACTTTTCAATAAAAATGGAACTAGTAAATTTACCTACCTTGTCATTTGAAAAAAATTATTTAGTGAAAAACAGTCTGAATGTACACACAAATACTCTGAACTTGAGATAGAAAAAGATGCTTCAGCTTCTGATTAACAATATCTATCTGGTTTTCGGAGACCAAGACTTCCAACAATCCATTAGAATTCTCATGGGTACCGATTGCGCCCCGTTATTAGCAAATTTATATAATTATTTTTGTATTTGTATGAAGCAGAATTTGCCGTAAATCTTATAGATGATAAGAAGAAAACTCTTGCTGTGGTTTTCAGCTCGAATTTTGATATATCTACGACGTATTGTCAATTAACAATGGTTATTTCAATCTCATGCCGATACCATATATCCCAGTGAACTTGAGATAAAAGGTACCACAGAGTCTGACACATGTGTTTCATGTTTGGATATTTTTATTGAAAAGAAGTAAATAATAATCTAACATTCAAGCTCTATGATAAACGTAATGACTTCAACTTTTCTATCGTCAACTTCCCTTACTTATGCAGCAATATACCTTCATCACTTGCATACGGAGTTTATATATCTTAATGGATTCGATACGCAAGAGCATGCTCTACGTATGAGCAATTTCTAAAACGAGGTAAACTATTGACAGACAAGTTGATGAAACAAGAATTTTCAGCAGTCTCGTTTTAAGTTATCGTTTCGTTTTGTTGTCGATACAATGACCTTGTCAGCAAATACAATTTTTCATTGAGTCAAATGCTGACTGACTTTTTCACACTAATTGTTTGTCCATTATTTTTATACTGAATTGACGACGGATTTTTCCGTTATTTTTAGGGATGTCAAAATTGTCAATAACTGATATTCGAATATTCGATAGAAGTATTCGAATATACGAATATTCGATAAAAAAATACATCTTGCATTATTAAATATATGTATCTTCAGTTTTCTGTCAAGTAGTATAGGTTTTATGGCATTATTTTGGAATAAAAACACTCATGTAGAGTTCGGTAAATGCACTGCAATTATACTTTTTTTTTAAATTATTGAATAGTATATATCCAAAATGTAATGATTGTTTTTTGAAAATTCAAAGGATTCTTTAGGATGTCTTACTAAAGTCTACATCGATAACTCCTACAAACTTATATCTAGCAGAACAACTATCTCACGGTGAAATATTTAAAACAATTACTTTTTGCTAATTTTAATTTCCTGATAATGATTTTAATGATATTTTTCGTGTGTATACTGTAAAATTGTGTCCTTACAACAATGCTGATTATAAGTACTGGACACTATTATTAATTAAGTGAACAAATAAATCAATTACTACACTTTTGTTTGTAATCCAGAGGAGTGTTTTTTTTTTTTATTTTTTTGATTCAATTTCTAATAAAATTGCCAGGTTTTTTTTTCTCTTTTTAATGCTTGTATACTTAAAAAAGAATATTCGAATCATGAATTAATATTCGAATATCAATTTTCGAATGAATAATTCGATTATTCGATATTCGTTGACATCCCTAGTTATTTTCCGATCATGACAAGAAACACACGACGGGTGGGACCAGTCGACAGGGGATGCTCACTCTTCCATGGCACCTGATCCCACCTCTGATGTTTTGGAGGTCCGTGTTTGCGCTCTTCCTGTTTTGCTTTGTTTTATGAACTTTTGATTTTGAATACTGTTCGTTATCTCCATATTTCGTGTACACAAATATGATTAATATTAAATAAGTGTGAATTGTTCATAGGATATTTAGATTATTAATAATGTTTCAAATGATGCAATTTTCTTTTCGTTCTTTATGCATTTATTTATGTTGTAAAGTATTTTAATTCATACTGCAAAGTTCAATAATACTTGATACCTGTATAAGACAGCGTGTCTCGTTCACTGTTAATATCTTAAATCATTTTCATTACATATTTTTAAGTGTAAAAATGAAGACACTTACCTGAATTCTCGAAAACATCCTGTATCTGTGAAGGAAAAAATATAATAAAATACTTGGATAATTAAGAAAAGCCCTATTTAAACAAGATAAAAATACTGGAACTCGGTGAAGAGACTTTTTCTATATAAACTCTTCATCCATATCATTTGTTTTTCCATATTATTAATATAGAAAGTATATTAATAATAAAAAGTAAATTAAAGATGATGCACTGTTGCAACCACTAATGAAAAACGCTAAGTATTGAAATAATTATTTCAATAGTGGTTTAGAGTGCATTTCAAAACCAAACACAGGTTGCAACCACTATTGAAATAACATTCACTATTGATACAATAATTTCAATAGACGTTTTGAATTCATTTCGAAACCTAAACCAGGTTGCAACCGCTATTGAAATAAAGATTTCAATAGTGAGCGAAATACATGTAATGATTTCAATAGTCGCTGACACGTATTTGAATTCCAAAACCACATTGCAAGCCTTATTAAAAAGAACCCATTATTGAAAAAAATATAAAGACGACCTGTTCATTACGTTTTCTTACGTAATAATTAATCTGACATATATTTTGGATTTTCCAGAGCAAAACATGGACACTGCCATTATATTCATATGGGAGGCGGGGGGTATCATTTAGTGAGCTCATTGCTCACAGTACCTCTAGTTCTTTCTAAAATACTTTCTTTTCAATAAGGCTTACTATGTGGTTTTGGTATTGAAATAATTGCCAGCAACTATTGAAATCATTATTTCACTCACTATTGAAATCTTTATTTCAATATTAAACATTATTTCAATAGTGTTTGCAACCTGCTTTAGGTTTTGAAATGCATTCAAAATGTCTATTGAAATTATTCTTTCAAAAGTGAACGTTATTTCACTAGGGTATGCAGTGTTTCATCATTCAATCAATGTGCAAGTATATCAAATCTGTTTTGTTAATTTAAATACTTTTATTTTTAAATTATACCGTTGGCACATTTAATGTTTTATTTCTCATAGGCATTTTTAGAAAATTAGGCATCTACCTGGTAAGAATATTATCATATTATTTTTCCTTAGTCAGGTTTCTGTAAAATGTCGAGAAAAGGAATAGTTTAGTGTCTTAACAATGTTATTCAGTGTAAATCTGGTTCTTCAGATATGTTGCACACAACATCGATGTGTTTTGGTGTCCTTACAGATTTATTTAAACTCACCCCTTTTCCATATCTGTATCTATCTGAAAACTATACAGCGTGAAAAATTCTTCTTTATACTTAAAGACATATACTAGTATAAAAATTATATCTTAGATATAAGTTTTCACATACGCTTTCGTTTTCTTGGTAGAACTATTTTCTTATCAGCATCCAATATTATTTCAAAGAAAAAATATTGGAGGGGTCATTAATTTAAAAACGAGTTCTCAAATACCTTAAATTGGTGTCCATACCAAATTCAACTTACAGTTATCATTATTTTGTGGAACAGTCTTGAAATTATCGAAGAGTGCTTACATAGTGCATTGGCTATCTTTATAAAAAAAAACGGTTAAACATTTTTATGTTTGTTAATCTACATGTATTTACAAAATTTGTATATTTGAGGAATGAAATATCTTCATATTAATTATTTCAATTATACCCCTGCTTGAAAAGTGAGAGGGTATACTGTAATCGGTATGTCTGTCCGTCCGTCCGTCCGTCTAGCTGTACGTCCGTCCGTCCGTCTGTTACGCTTTAGGGTACCCATCTCTTATCCACAACTCCTCGTATACCACTAAGTGAAATTTAATGAAACTTTCACAGAATCTTTATTACATATTGCCATTGTGCACCTCTTATTTAACTTTTTGATCCGACACATATTTTTGGTTTCTTGGCCACAGCAAAGCATGGACTTTGTTATCAGTTATAACCGTATGGGAGGCGGGGGTATCATTTAGTGAGGTCATTGCTCAAGGTACCTCTAGTTTTTGACAAATATTTCTTAAGGAACCTCTTGAAGACACCAAACTCTTCTTGGTCAAATGCTGCTTACAGTGTTACTTTTTTCTAGGGCTTTAATTGGTACAAACTTAAAGAAAACGCAAACTCATAGAAAAAAGTAAAAGTTTATTCCTCCACACAGTCTGCCACATGTTTCATATTTGCGTGTTTTACTTTTGTTTTGAACATATTTTATTGCATAATTCATACAAAGGGATTGGTTACAAGTTCTTGCAACTGAGAAAAATCTCTCCCTGTGATATATACAATGATTATAATTATACTGATTGTCGAACGAATATTTTACAATTGTAGTGAAAATGTAAAGTTATACATATATGATATATATACAAAATATTTCAAAGACAGTTATTAAAGATTAAGATTTGATACAATGTAAATCTATAACTAGAGGTACTGTGAGCAGTGAGCTCACTAAATAATACCCCCGCCTCCCATATTGCAGATAAGAGATGGGTATCCCAAAGCGTAAACGGACGGGCGGACAGACAGACGGACGTACGGACGTATGTACAGACGGACGGACACATAACGATTACTATATACCCCCCCCCCCCGCTTTTCAAGCGGGGGGTATAACAATGCTTACGATAATATTATATGACAATAATGATAAGCATTATAAACATAATTACAAATAAAATTATCATGCACGTTATAAACAATCACAGTTATACGTCAATGGATAATTGACGTGATGAAACAGAAGAAGGAAAGGAGATCAAAATCTACCTGAATCTCGAAAGAACTTTTGGACAGAGTGACATATTTTATTAATTACATAAGTAGACAAGGAATAATTTCCAAATAATAAAAGATGGGAATTGACTATTGTTAAGTGATTATATTGTTTTACTTACTAATATAAAGATGATAAGGGCTAACTAAAACTGACAAACTTGTTTGGCCTTAGCTTCTCAGTCATCAACTTTTCTTATTTGTTAATGTAGTGTACGTGTAGCCCGTGTACGGTGTTTAGTGCGTATAGGTAGTTTACGTCTCCCTCTCACGTAAACAATGGCAATATTCTCCAAGAGTTTGTAGACTAAGTTTGCAACCATTTTTAAAATAAATCACTTTTTAATTTAACTTTACACTTGTGGCATCTAATAAGGGGACCAATGATGTAAACATGGTTGATCTTGTATATAAAATTGATGAACTGTGTAACAAATGGGGAAATCTAAACTTAGTACTAAAAATTTGAAGTAACCAATTTTTTATGAAGCAAAACATATCTCTTAAAGGTACTTGGACACAGATTTGAAGTTAATATTTTCTATATAATATTTCGACTTATGTATTTTAATACACAACAAGATTGCCACTTTTCCTAAGGATTAAGAATAAAGTTCAAATTTGTGAAAGTGCAAGGATGTGTCAATTAAACCCGACAAAAAAATTAAAGTTTTAATAAATTTTATATGAAATAAGATTTTTAATTAAATTTTGTATGAAATGCTATTAAAATATAAAATTCCTGATGTTATACAAGATAATATTAACTTCAAATCTGTGTCCACGTACCTTTAAGAGACATTAAAGAGTAGTCAGAAAATTAAACATTCTTTGGTCCTACATATTACACTTATAACAGTTAAATAAAACTTTTATCATTCTTTATGTTATGGGATTTAAGTAAAAAGAAAAATAGATATAGATTTATACACACAAAAGACATTCTAATATGATGCAAAACAAAGAAATATAAGCAACTCTCCAAAACATATAGAGATTTGAGAAACATGAAAACAAATACGTGGTTAGAGGCTTGTAAAAAGATGTCAGTTTCTCAATACTTATATATACATATATAAAATCACGAATTTAGTAAGAGAATTACAGGTGTTCTTTATGAATAAAGGTAATGGCACATCTATTGTCTATGTTTATTTTCACATACAAGTTATAATTCTTATACAGGAGTCATTTTGTTGCTGTTGTTGTTGTCAAAGTTCATCCTTTGAGCTATCAAGCAAAAAATTAACATATATCGAATTGAAAAGATAAAAGCATTAGTACAACCACTAGATGGCAGAGTCTTTATCCTTATCTATTTTATTGATAGTTAGATATAGATTTAGGAAATAAAGCGTACAAAAATATAATTCTTAAACTCGAATATAAGATTTTGTACTTGCACATATAGATATAGAAATGCTTGTTTTGAATGAATTATAGTGCACAAATTCAAAAAAGTTACATCTGTACATTGATTTAAGTTCTTAATTATTTTATTCTATGGTAATATTCTAACGTTATATGTACTATTTATGTCCAAGATCTGTGTGAAAAAACGCATGTCTCGATTACTGTTATTTAACGAATTATCATTACATTGTTTCTGGTGTAAAATGTTGTGAAGACAATTACCTGAATTTTTGAAAGCATCCTTCATCTGTGGATGGAAAAAGAAATAAAAAATTATTTAATTGAATATTTAAAAAAAAATAATAATAAAACTATTTTTACAAATTAAAATAACTCAATCTCAAAGTCCTACCGCATACTGTTAAGAACCCTTGAAATGTTTGGTCTAATTTTATTAAAATTTTATTTCATTAAAATTGAAACGCAAAATTATAGCTATTGACTGATTGTGATTATAACTGGTCAGGAGAGAAATGCAATGGAGTCTATGCAATACAGATTCTGAAACCGTCATACTGATTCACATGTATTTGGTTCCTATACCGAGCTAATTGATCTGTCTGATCACCATCTTTCCTTTCCTGAAAGGTCTTCGCCCCCGAAGACTAACCCAGACTCTTTCATGGCAGTTTTTCTTTCAGTCACTTTTTTGCACTTTTGAATCATCCTAAGCTTTAATCAAAATCTTTATGTTTATTTGCAAAAATATTGTAGAAGTCAAGCAGATTAAAAGTAAAAGATTTTTCAATATTGCTTTACAAATGTGCTATTATCTGCAAAATTAGAGATTAATTCAATAATAATTAAGCATTTTACAGGTCATTAAAATTCCGACTAAACTATTAGTCTGTTCCATGAGCCAAGGGCCAAATGTAATCAGTAAGGAGAGAAAATGCCTTGGATCAGACTTCAAGCAGAAATATGCATAAATATATTTCCATAATGAATTCTTATAAAAACAGTCGATTTTTTATCACATAATATAAAGGGTATTCATTTCAGAGCCAGGTATATTTTTGTTATCTAATTAACTTTTTACATATATATGTCTTCTACCTTTGTTATTCTTTGACGAGAAACATTATTGGAATATGGTGGACATCAGGTTTAGACACGAAATATGCTCAGACAAAAATATTAAAAAGCTATTGTTTTTCAGAACACTTACATATACTGGCGGCATTGGACGGTATATCTTTTTTAGGACAATCCTCCCCAATACATCTCCTCTTATCTATCATGCTCCTCTCCGAATCGTAGAACGGACATTCTCCTGAGTATTGAATTAAAAAGAAACAAAGGGTATATATTGTTCTTGTTTTTGTTTAACTATAGAAAATTTTAAACTCTGATGCCGTCAAACATTAAGTTTTAAAAATAGGATATTTTATAGGAATTAATAATCTGTCAGAAGATGCATTTTTAAATCAGTTAATATTGCTTTCAGTCAACAAAAGACCTGCATTTTTGTTTGTTAAAAAAATATATGTATACTAGTTGAAGAATCCACTATCAGTAAGATCTCCATACTGTTAGGTTACCTTATTCGTAGATTACTTGTGTATTGGGATTTTGCTGGGTTTTTTTACGAATAAAAGTAGATTTTGATTATGAACGATTATGTATATGTAAATTTTCCTATTGATTACTCATTCAAATGAATTTAACTGTTGGTTGCCAGATAAAAAAAAAACTTATTTCTACATGTAATTCGACAAATCTATAAAAAAAAAAAATTGCTACTCGACGTCTATATTAGTTCCTTTTTCTTTTCATTACCAGTCTGAGTAATTCTATCTTTTCGCTATCTGAATAAGTGACTTTTACATTTTTTAACTGTAAGTAATTTTACTGTTGGTTACCTGTGACTTCTACCGTTGTTTACTTGTACACGTAAAAAATGTTTGTGTATGGTTATCTGTGAGTAATTTTTATGTGTATACGTGACTATTGCTGTTGTTTACCTGCCGGGATGGTTACCGCCTTTATACACACCCGTCCATGTCTATTTTTGTCATCAATCAGACAGTGGGGGGTCTGACCTTCCTTACACCTATTTAGGAATTGGCCCTCGTAGAACTCTGATAATTTCAAATTCGGACAAGTCTTGTCAGGGGACAATGGTTCAAATCCAAAGCAAACCACTCCAAAGACTAAAACTAACGCCAGCGTCTTCATCTCTAAAATTGAGGAAATGCTTGATAAAACTTTAGTAGAACTGAAATCAGGGCCAAACAAAGAGGAAGAGAAAATGGAAAATTTCATTAATTACAAATAAATGCAATGTTTAATCTCCCTGATTACCGGTATTTAGACTTTCTGCATTTCTGTTTGAAAGCCATAAATTGTCTCCATATAAAGAATTTTGGCATTTGTTCCAACACAGTACAAAACTGAGTAAAGATTATTCAGTTTGTTATGGAACTGCTATTTTTTTATGTAAAGGTTACATGCCGAAAACTGTCCATTCTGTGAGAAGAAAGAACTATTGGAGGGCCGTTAGGCCCGACAATAGTTCTTTTTTCTCACAGAATGGACAGTTTGAGGCTTGTAAACTACTTAAAACATTTCATTCCATTGTGTTCAGAATGGACTCTCTTAGAAAAGTTTCTCTCTTGCAACGTCAATGAAGTAAACATCCTTTGTATTAAATTTGGCATTGTCTTCTTAGTAGACTGTCTCAGGTAAATTTGTTGATTTAAATACTGTGAATAGGATTCACTTCAATTGTTAACTTAGTGGACAGTTACAGGTGAGTTCCTTGGTTTTGTATAAAAAGCATGCACATCGAACACCACTTCTTAGTAAATGTCCCTGCGGTTAGGATGTCCTCTTCACATGGAGAAAGCGTGTTTTTAACACAAAACAAGTTTAAAGAAGTTGATGAACAACAAAACAACACGGATGGCATTCTCAGTGATATTTTGGATTTGGAAAGAGAACATCCAAAAAAACAACCGAATTTTGACCTCAAAGTAGATATTTTTTCGGATATTTCTGACGAGGAACTTGTTAAGGCCACCCAAGACATAGAAGGAAAAGAAAATATTGAAAGGTTTGCACGGCTCAATCAAGAAGATTTGGATAATTTGGTTAAGAAAGGTTTATCGAAGAAAACAGAGCAAAAGTCAAAGTGGGCAATGACTCTATTTACGAACTGGCAAAATGAACGAAAGCGTATGTTACCAAACCACGATACATTTATGTACCAGGATATTATGATAATGAGTGATGAGGAAATCAACAAAACAATGAGTTTCTTTGTAGCTGAAGTGAGGAATAAATCTGGAGAGGATTACAGACCCAATAGCTTGTATGAAATTGTGTGTGCAATTCAACACAAATTACGACATGAAGGTAGATTCATAAACTTTTTGGATGATGATAAATTTCACGATATGCGCAGTATTCTTGATTCAAAGATGAAAGAACTCTCTGGGCGAGGCATGGGGATAGAGCGGAAACGGGCAGAGATCATAACTGAGGCTCAAGAAGATGAAATGTGGTCCAAGGGAGTTTTAGGAAGAGATACACCTCAAAAACTCTTAGATACTCTACTGTTTCAACTAGGACTACATTTTGCACTACGAGCAGGACAGGAACACAGAAACTTGAGGGTTGGGACAAACAGTCAGATTTCTCTTTCCATGGATGCATCTGGACTGCGATATCTCGAATATAGAGAGGATGTCTCCAAAACAAATCGCGGTGGGCTCCAGCACAAAAATCTGCAACCTAAAGTTACCAGAGCATACCAGAACAAGAATGTTCCCGAGAGATATCCTGTGCTCACGTATGAAAAATATCTGCATTTAAGGCAAGTATATTGTTGTTAATTTCCACCAAAATATTGCTGTAACATATGTCTTAATTTAAAACACTTTAATCTATAATATGCAATTTTCTTTTAAAGGCCTGAAGCTGGTAAAACCAATGCTCTCTATTTGCGACCTCTGCGGTACCCCACAGATTCCACTTGGTACGCCGACTCCCCTGTTGGAGTACACACTCTTCAACAGACCGTCGCAAAACTGTGTAAAATAGCAGGATTTACTGGCCACTACACAAACCATAGCCTCAGAGCAACCGCCGCAACACGCCTTTACGATGCTGGCATTGATGAGCAGCTAATAACCGAGAAAACTGGACACCGCTTGACATCTGTTAGATCGTATAAAAGAACAAATGAAGAACAACAGCAAAGAGTGAGCAAAATCATTCACGGTGAAAATCAGTGTGATGTAGCTATCAAGAAAGCCAAAACCGCAGCCGAAAGTGATTCTAATGTGTGTGCACCAGCTGGTGCTAGTGAAATTGAAATTTCGTCTGGAAGTGTATTTTTCAAATTTAAATTCTAAAGTTGGAATAATTATTACAATGTGTGTAATTCGTTGTTCATGAATAGCATGTATATCTTTTGTGTTGGATTTGTTGTTATTTTTTCTTAGTGCTTACCTGTAACTGTCCAATAAGTTGTAAAAAAGTGTCCACTATTTTTAATAGTGGACAGTTTTTCCAACTTATTGGACAGTTACAGGTAACTTATTGGATTGTTTTTGTTATTTCAAGGATAAGAAGGTATTAAAAAACAAAAGATGATGTCATAACAATGTTTTAATTTGTGTTAGAGATTAATATCCTTTTTTTCCAGCATGCTATTAGTTAATTGTATACATTTTCTTATAGGATGATTTTCTGTGCTTTTTAGGTGTATCAAAATATATCAACAATCTTGCAACAAAATATTTAAATAAAAAATGCAAAATCATCTAAAAGGAAAACGTTTTTGGACATATCTATAGGAATGACAGGTTGGGACTCTACCGACAAAAGTACTAGTACACCAATAACAAAATTACACCCAAGAAAGCTTCAAAATATTAAAAAACATAAAAGTTTTACAGACTATAAAAACAAAATACTTTTAGATATACACAACAGTATCTAAATATAGAATAAACAGTTTTTCCTAACCCTCATGTATCCTATTACCACTGATATGTTTTGAGCGTAAATAATATACAATATCAATATCTAAAAGACCATCAAATAATTTAAAACATTGTTATGACATCATCTTTTGTTTTTTTAATACCTTCTTATCCTTGAAATAACAAAAACAATCCAATAAGTTACCTGTAACTGTCCAATAAGTTGGAAAAACTGTCCACTATTAAAAATAGTGGACACTTTTTTACAACTTATTGGACAGTTACAGGTAAGCACTAAGAAAAAATAACAACAAATCCAACACAAAAGATATACATGTTATTCATGAACAACGAATTACACACATTGTAATAATTATTCCAACTTTAGAATTTAAATTTGAAAAATACACTTCCAGACGAAATTTCAATTTCACTAGCACCAGCTGGTGCACACACATTAGAATCACTTTCGGCTGCGGTTTTGGCTTTCTTGATAGCTACATCACACTGATTTTCACCGTGAATGATTTTGCTCACTCTTTGCTGTTGTTCTTCATTTGTTCTTTTATACGATCTAACAGATGTCAAGCGGTGTCCAGTTTTCTCGGTTATTAGCTGCTCATCAATGCCAGCATCGTAAAGGCGTGTTGCGGCGGTTGCTCTGAGGCTATGGTTTGTGTAGTGGCCAGTAAATCCTGCTATTTTACACAGTTTTGCGACGGTCTGTTGAAGAGTGTGTACTCCAACAGGGGAGTCGGCGTACCAAGTGGAATCTGTGGGGTACCGCAGAGGTCGCAAATAGAGAGCATTGGTTTTACCAGCTTCAGGCCTTTAAAAGAAAATTGCATATTATAGATTAAAGTGTTTTAAATTAAGACATATGTTACAGCAATATTTTGGTGGAAATTAACAACAATATACTTGCCTTAAATGCAGATATTTTTCATACGTGAGCACAGGATATCTCTCGGGAACATTCTTGTTCTGGTATGCTCTGGTAACTTTAGGTTGCAGATTTTTGTGCTGGAGCCCACCGCGATTTGTTTTGGAGACATCCTCTCTATATTCGAGATATCGCAGTCCAGATGCATCCATGGAAAGAGAAATCTGACTGTTTGTCCCAACCCTCAAGTTTCTGTGTTCCTGTCCTGCTCGTAGTGCAAAATGTAGTCCTAGTTGAAACAGTAGAGTATCTAAGAGTTTTTGAGGTGTATCTCTTCCTAAAACTCCCTTGGACCACATTTCATCTTCTTGAGCCTCAGTTATGATCTCTGCCCGTTTCCGCTCTATCCCCATGCCTCGCCCAGAGAGTTCTTTCATCTTTGAATCAAGAATACTGCGCATATCGTGAAATTTATCATCATCCAAAAAGTTTATGAATCTACCTTCATGTCGTAATTTGTGTTGAATTGCACACACAATTTCATACAAGCTATTGGGTCTGTAATCCTCTCCAGATTTATTCCTCACTTCAGCTACAAAGAAACTCATTGTTTTGTTGATTTCCTCATCACTCATTATCATAATATCCTGGTACATAAATGTATCGTGGTTTGGTAACATACGCTTTCGTTCATTTTGCCAGTTCGTAAATAGAGTCATTGCCCACTTTGACTTTTGCTCTGTTTTCTTCGATAAACCTTTCTTAACCAAATTATCCAAATCTTCTTGATTGAGCCGTGCAAACCTTTCAATATTTTCTTTTCCTTCTATGTCTTGGGTGGCCTTAACAAGTTCCTCGTCAGAAATATCCGAAAAAATATCTACTTTGAGGTCAAAATTCGGTTGTTTTTTTGGATGTTCTCTTTCCAAATCCAAAATATCACTGAGAATGCCATCCGTGTTGTTTTGTTGTTCATCAACTTCTCTAAACTTGTTTTGTGTTAAAAACACGCTTTCTCCATGTGAAGAGGACATCCTAACCGCAGGGACATTTACTAAGAAGTGGTGTTCGATGTGCATGCTTTTTATACAAAACCAAGGAACTCACCTGTAACTGTCCACTAAGTTAACAATTGAAGTGAATCCTATTCACAGTATTTAAATCAACAAATTTACCTGAGACAGTCTACTAAGAAGACAATGCCAAATTTAATACAAAGGATGTTTACTTCATTGACGTTGCAAGAGAGAAACTTTTCTAAGAGAGTCCATTCTGAACACAATGGAATGAAATGTTTTAAGTAGGTTACAAGCCTCAAACTGTCCATTCTGTGAGAAAAAAGAACTATTGTCGGGCCTAACGGCCCTCCAATAGTTCTTTCTTCTCACAGAATGGACAGTTTTCGGCATGTAACCTTTACATAGAGAAATCTTTCTGTAAAAGAAATTATTTTAGAGAGGAGTAACTTGTTTTAACAATTATTGTCTAGGGAAAAATCAGACAAAACGGTTTACAGGTTTCACATATAGTAAACTGGGGACTGCATTCAAATGCACCTTCTAGATAAGGAGTATATTTAAACGAGCATATAGATAATTTTAAGAAGCACTTTAAAGTCTGGGTGCAGGTATTCATAACCATGTTGACATATCTGTTTATGTTAGTCTCGAGTACATTATCTCTCTATGGAATGAAACAAAAATTAAATCATAATTTACATCAGAATCCTTGTTATGGGGGAAGTGTCAAATTATTTGGGGCAAATACTCGTAAAGTGTTTCACTCAAAAGAGACATAGATATGAATATAAAATTATTAGTTTGTTAGAGGTCAAGACATGAAAGAATGCAAATTTTACTTACACTAATATACGAGTAATATATTATCATTAAAAGCAACTGTTTGTATTTTTCTTTGTACTTACTGTGAAGAAAAAAAATACTCCACAAAGTATAAGAATTCAGACAGGAATTTAAAAAAAGACCGATCAATATTTAAAAGAATTTCAAGGACTAGAGTTCTTGTCTATCTTATTCAAATGATTTATTAAGAAACATGCTTAGACATATACTGAGAGTCGAATTTGAAAAATATATGTATGTATATATCTGTTCGGAAGAAAGGTTTTTTTTTCCTTAAAGATTAGTCAGCAAGTCACAAATTGTATTCAACAGCATTTAATGTATGTACAGAATAAAAATGAATTGAACTCATCAGGCGATTAAAAATTAATTCTATATTATTTTCAGCTGAAGGAAATGCATGAATGGATTGCAAATAAAATAGGATGAGCATAAAATTGCAAAATACTTTTACTATCGTCCTTGTCATAGATTTTAATGCCCTTCTGTATGCTTAAGGGCGCCTCATTTAGATAGCATAAAGAAGGGTCGGCAAAATTGGCTCTTTCACTACGCTCTCCTGAGCTTTAAGTTTAAGTGAGCCTTTCATCATTCGGCATCTGTATTTGTAGGTCTCTAAACTTATTTTCAAAAATCAACTTAGCCCCTCTTAACCAAAGCTAGCACTAAGTATGGTAAGTTAAAAGGCATATTGTAAATTGTTCAAAGAATGATTAATCTTCTTCCAAGGGGATATACTAGTAATTAAGAAAATACAGTTATCTTCAACAAAAAACTAAGAGCGGAACAGACATGAACCTCGAAAACATCAAAGGTGGGATCAGCAGCCATGGAGGAGTAAGCATCCCCTACCAATCATCACATCCCCCATGGACTCCTTGTCACGATTAGGAGAAAAGTAAAATTCCGTTGTCGATTCAGTGTGTAACAATTAGTTTGAAAACATCAATCAGTATTTAATTAACTAGAAAAGAAACTCGTTGCGAGCAACGAGAGGTCTTCCGTCCGATTCTGAAAAAAAACCCCGCAAAATCGAGCTAAAAAGTGATAAAACTTTTTATGGAAACAAAGGGGATTGAACCCGGGTCGCCAGCATGAAAATCCAAAGCGCTTACTGTTACGCTATTGGGACCACATCTCTAAATCTACTTGTATATACTTCTGAAACAGTACATCTGTCTTAGAATAATGAAAGGCGGTCACTATTCATAATTTTGCGTCAAACGCCACGAGTAAATTTTCGCGCCTTTTCTTTGGAATGTCCCATTAAATAGGTATGATAGCTTCAATGGAAATATAAAAAGAACGTTCTCATAGCTAACATTTCAAGGTAAAGAAATCGTTTTTAACACATTTACAAATTCTATGACGTAAATAGATAAGTAACACTAAATCAGTGAAACTGTAATAACTTTTTACTTTTTAAAATTTCCTGTTTATCCCCATACTGAACTATCCCGATTAGTTAAACTTGCATGAAAAGGTTGAAATGTTTCGCAGAAAAACATGTGTCGCCCTAAGACGGTCAAGGAATCAGATACAATTTATGTTCAATAACTTAAATCATATCTTTGACACAAGAATATCAATATAAACTCAATTCTTCTAAAGAATGGCTTTCTTATGTTTGTCTTTCCTATTACAAATATAGTTTAATATGACTCTAGGGTGCATGAGCAAAACAGTGGATACGTTTGATACTGACTACATACATCGATATTGTTTCTTAAAACTATTATTTGTAACTAAGATTTAAGATCTGTTTTTCCGCAAAACAAATGATAGTAGGTATGTATTTCATTTGCACATTTAGTCTTTTCTTTTTCTACTTTGAGAACCAGCCAAAACCAATTATAGAAGACGTTTGAGACGACCATGGATTTAAACTTAGTTTGACACAGAATTGCAACGTAACTACTTCGTGACAATCCCCGTATTCCTTTACATTTCATTTATCCTTTTTTACTTTCGTTCAAGCAAACGCTTGGCTGCCTCTGAAAACCCCTATTGCGAAATGTCGGAGTTGACGTAGACAGCCGCCATATTGGACTCGCTTCAGATTTTCAAATGTTAATATCTAGAGTTTGGATTTATGAATGTTCAAACGAATTATATAGTAAGCATTATAAGAACGGTTTCTATTAACATTCCAAAAATAAATGAAAAATATTGAAAAACAAAAAAGTTAGAAAATACGGACTTTTTAAATTCTCTTCCGATAGCGACCGGAAGTACTGACGACACACAAAAAGGTGATTTCACATATCTAAAAGTCATCATCTATCATCTCTAACAAGTCTCCAGTTAATATCTTTGACAATTTTCGTAAAAAAGGGGCGACAAAAATCCATTTTAAAATCAGAAAAATGTCAATAACTTGGAACCGAAGGTGAGTATTCCAAATTTTCCTTCTGATGAACAAGGTTCGTATAATGACGCATGATTCCTGAAAGTTTCATTGAAAAGCACCGAGTAGTTTTCGAGAAATCGCCTGCACAAAATTTTGGGGAAAAAAATAAGAATAATAATAATAATAATAATAATAATAATAAGAAACAGTAGAATCACTAGAAGGTCTTCCGCTGAAGACGGAAGACCTTAATAATAATTTGTATTTGCTGCGAATTTCATTATATCGACCATAGAACTTGGAAAAAAAAGACTTTTCAAACGTTTCTATTCATATTCCTACTTCATCAATTTGTTTGTCCCGAGCTTGCCTCATTTTGCTAAAATGTTCTTAGGTAGAGCATTGAATCGACTGAGAGATATAAAGCCTATTATGCAGGTGATAAGGATAAGTGTACAGTTAACAACAGCATAAATTAGAAAAAAAAATTCTGGTCGATTCGATTTATTAGATTTACATGTATTTGGGACATTCTGAATCCTGCAAAATGTCTGGATAATTTGCCGATTTGACATTTCAAAATGATATAATCTGTGCCATGATGCCTTGTTACGTTTTTGTATGAATTTCGGTCCAGTTATTTATTACCCATCCACCCCCACCACCACCCGTAGAAAAACTATTTAAGTAAGATATAAGCAGGTTTTAATCACCAACCAAAAATAAACATAATTTAATTTTTGGGTCCCCAAAGCATGCTGACAATATAAAATCGTGAGAGCTTTGAATTATAATTGATTTTAACATCTTGCACTTTATAATAGCATTTTTCTTAATTAAAATTAGGTCCTGTAGACATATGAACTATAAAACGGCAAAAACAAGAAACATAAAAAAAGTTATAATGAAAACAGAAGAAATAATATTTGTAAATAAAATAATCTATTATCCACTGGCATACTGGAGGAAGCAAATAGTCTATAGCAGAAAAAAAATCAAAAATGTTTAGAAATTATATTTATAGGTAAGAGAGTTATTTTTAAATTATTTCTTAGGGAAAGAAGACAAAACGCTTTACGGGTTATATGTACACCTTTAAACGGAGTCTGCATTTAAATAAATCGATACTATATGAACTTTCGGGAATAGAAGTACATATGTAGATAATAGAGGATCTTTAAATTTCTGGGTATTCATAATCATGCTGACATATCTGTTTAAGTTAGTTTCGGGTGCATATATACTTTATCTACTGACTTAAACAAAAGCGGACTTTCCTAAGAAAGAAAACTGTAATGTTTAATGCAGGTCATAACAGCATGCATGTAAAGTGTTGCACAGTCTATTTTCACAATAATTATTATCATTAAAAAATGTCTGTATTTATTTCTATATACATGTATGTACTTACTGAGATAAAAATTTCAGTCCAGAGAGGAACATCTTTAGATGACTGTTTGATATTTTAATCACCTTGAAGGAAGAGAGTAAGTTTTATCTATCTTATTCAAATGTTTTAACAACACTATAAGAAACATGATACGACACATCGGTATATTAAGAGTCACTCTAGATCTTAAATTGAAATCAGTATAAGTTTGCTGGAGAAAAGTATTTTCTTTTCTTATTGAAAAATCGCTAATTATCAAATTCAAATTCATTTTGGTTCTTTGGGCAATTGAAAATATTCAAAACTGACATGATTTTGACGAATTTCTTCCTTAGAAATTGATGGGAACTATGAGTTTAAGTTGAATTACCACTGACTGAAAGAATTAAATCCAAGTTCTTCTAAAATACAATTCATATAAAACACATGGAGATAACGAACAGTATTCCAAATCAAAAGTCCACAAAACAATTCGAAACAGGAGCAGAGCAAACATGGACCTCCACAGCATCAGAGGTGTGATCAGGTGCCATGGAAGAGTGAGCATCCCCTGTCGACCGGTCACATCCACCGTGTTCTCCTTGTCATGATCGGGTAATAACGGAAAAATCCATCGTCAATTCAGTGTAGAAACAATGGACTAACAATTAGCATGAAAAACGCCTGTCAGCACTTGACTCAATGAAAATTGATCTGCTGACAATTAAGGTCCTTGTACCGACCATAGAACTTACGAAATGATGACTTTAAACGACACTGCTGAAATTCTTGTTTCATCAACTTGTTGGACCATAGAACTTAGGAAATGATGACTTTAAACGACACTGCTGAAATTCTTGTTTCATCAACTTGTTTGTCAATAATTTACCTCGTTTTAGAAAGTGTTCATACGCAGAGCATACTCTTGCGTATCGAATCAACTGAGATATATAAACTCCGTATCTGCAGGTGATGAAGGTATATTGCTGCACATAAGTAAGGAAGGTTGATGAAAGAAAAGTTAAAGTCACTGTTCGTTATTTCCAGATATTTCATTGATAATTTGAAACATATTGTAAACTAAGTTATACATTCTATAGATAGTGGCATTTTATTTGCACATAAAGATCCATATTATATTTCAGCGAGCTTAAACACAGATGATACAAACAAATTTTTTGTTTGGAGGAGACTAAGTATCATGCCACAAGCTAAGAAAAGCGGATAAGTCTTAGAATTTTTTCTCCTAAGAATTGGAAAATGAAATAGGCTTGTAAAATATTACTAATATTTCAATAAAAAAAAACAAATATTGACAAATCACACTCAGTAAAGGTTTACAGGTTAAAACAAATTTCAGAATATGTTAGCTTGGTGCTAAAAATGTA